GGGGGGGCTCGGTGGTGGTCCTCTTTTCCACATGCTTCTCTCCGTTACAAAAGAGTGGCACACAAGCCCTTGAAAACAGCCTTTTCCCTGAATAAAAAACATTTTGTGGCAGATAAACAGGAAAGAAAAAAAACGGGTGATGTCATTCAGGAGTTTTACCTAACTGACTTTCCAGAGGATGGGCATTCCAAAAAAAGAGTTGCTGGAAAAGTTCATGAACTTACTTTCTAACTCAGTCCATCCCTTCCAGTGAAAAAAGCAGCCCTGCTGTGAAACTTGAGCAACAATAACACCCTATGGCTTCTATGAACGCGACAGCTGGAGACAAAGCGGAGGGTGAGAGGGAATCCCTCTCCTCTCAACTCAGGCTGCGGATCAATCTTACCCCCTGAGCTCTCACAGTGAGAGGCTGAAGGAGAGGAAGGGCCTGCTCGCCTCTTACAGAAACGGCCGGAGGTCCCACCGCAGGCCTAACTGCGAATGCCGGTGTGTCCTGGAGGAGAGGGCCGGGGAGGTCTAATCACCCACCTGCACCCCTGTGCTCTCCTGATTTAGCCGCCTAGTCTCCTCAAACTTTTCCACCGCAGTGCCAGTCATGCCAGGGATACGACAGAGAAGAGACACAATAAAAATAATATGTCTGTGAATTTTTATGTGTCCTCTAAAGCACAGGATAAGATGCATAAATTAAATAAGATTCATGCTCATTTGCATTATTCTGCATAATGTGTCACTTGGGTTTCATTTCAAGTTTTTACTCTAAATCGACAATTAAAATTGACTTCAAGATCGCGTGTCATTTACTTTGTGATGACATTAGGGCCCTGGCTACAGGTCATACCCCAACACTGCAGGCCTTAGGTTAGCCGAAAGGGCTCGTGTCTTGTTCTGTTTCGTGTCTGTTCCGCCACTATGCAAACAGTGGACACGGTGGATCCTTTCTCTGACGCTCTCAGCAAGAGCAACTTCCTTGCTAAAGGTTTATCATGAGAGCTCAAAATTGATTCCCAAAATCCAGTCTTGGCTCTTTACCTAAATGTTGCATTAAAACCAGTCATATTCTTTCTATGCTGGGATCAAAGTGGGGAACCCATCTTTACTGGCGTAGTTCCTCGCAGGGCTGCTGTGGGTGGCTCTGAATAGAAAATTCAGGTCCAAGAAAAAGGCTGGTATGTGTGTCCTAGAGAAGAGCCCCTGTCTTCTAGGAGAAAAGGTTCTGAAATGTGTCTAACAGAGACTTTCCATGGCTGAGCAGATGGAATGCATGGGATGAACCGAAGGGTAACGTGTGGATAGAGCACAAAATCGAGTCCTCATAAATAAGCCCCCAGTTCTTCGTTGTGCACAGAAGTCTCAAAAGCCAGATGCCAGACTCAACACTGGATGAAGTTTTTTACCTTCATGTGTTCCCCTTCCATCTTAATTCCTTCTGAAAACTAATGTAGAAGGAAAAGAGAAAACTTTCCATGGATGTGCTATAAAAATTTTTTGAGAAGCCAGACACAAATGACTACATATTATAATGATTCCACTTATATGAAGTGTTTAGAAAAGGCAAATGAATTGAGACAAAAACAGATCAATAGTTGTCCAGGGCAACAGGGCAGGAGCAGAGATTAACTGCAAATTGACATAAGGGAAACCTGGGAAGGGGGTTATAAAAATGTTCTAAAATGCGGTTGCGGTGATGTTTGGACAACTCTATAGATGTACTAAAAATCGCTGAATTGTAGGCCTGTCATGGGTGAATTTTGTGGTATGAAAATCATACCTCAATAAAGCTGCTTAAAGAAAGAGAAAGCTCCAGTCTCTGGAGAAAAAGAATGTTGCAATTAGGCTTTTAATGATCTAAACACCATGAGGAATGTCTGGCTAATTAGAAATGTTTTAAACACAGCAAAATAGGACATTGCTTAATTTAACTGAAAATGACAGCAAGACAGCACACAGCACCCTCCTTAGGAAGTGGCTGTTTACATAGATTTTTCACATTTCTCCATTTTTTCTTAGTTTATACGAAACATTTGCAACAACAACAAAAGTGAAGATGGGTTTATTCCTCTGTCCTCCTGAAAATACATCTCCCAGGAAAGGTTAAACTAGCCAGCACTTGTAAAATAGTTAGTGAAATGTAGAAGGTGAATTATTTCCTTTTCTGAGTCTGTTCCTGCAGAAAGGCCCTAGCAAAGAAAGAAGCAAACGAGGCAGAGGCGATGCTGAGATTTGTGTGTGTCGGATGCTCAGCCTGTCAATGTTCTCCTCCTGGGCCCACAGGACACTTCCCAGCTTCTCCGCATTTAGGAGGGAGTCGCGCCTGACACACGGCAGGTGCAGAGCTGCGGGCCGCTCCCGGGCAGGGCAGCACCGCAAAGCGCGGGGCGCGGCCTCCAGGCCCGCTCTCTCGCCCCTGGGGGTGCGGCTGGGAGCCCAGATCTCCAAGTGGGGGCCCGGCTCATAACGGAATCCTGGATTCTTGAGTTTCTTCTCTGAAGAAAGCTTCCCAATTTGCATTGGACTTCGCCCAGACAAGAAATAAACTTTCTTTTGTTGAACCATTGACATTTTGGGATGTTCGTTACAGCTAATCACCCTAATTACCCTAGTTAGGAAGTTACTGAATACTTTAATAATATGATATACTACAGGACTCGAAGCATATTTCTTCCTTTGATCATCTAGGCCTGTCCTTTCCCTCCTACCCACCCTTTCTCTTCCCTTCCTGTCCCCCTCCTCACGGCCTCCAGTGACTGTTCATCTCTGGGGAGAGGGAGAAATGCCCGAGCGGCCCTCAGCCTTCACCTAGCCAGGCCCTTCCTCAAGAGCTGAACTACTCGAATGGGGTCAAGTTAAACGAATAGGCGGGAGGCTTCATTCCCAAGAGCCAGGATGTGCCTCAGGGGGGCCTTCGCTTAGAATGTTGCATTGTCACCAAGGGCAGTGCTTTGCCCACCCTCCTAAAAGCAGAAGCAAAGTCTAAACCTAGAACAATGACGACAAGAACAACCCTACAGTGGTAAATGCCGGAAAGAAATGCCAGAGTTGGCGGCCACCTCCTGGGTCATGGGCGGTATGAACTTGGCTTTTACCTTCTGAAGCTTTCGGTAGTGGAGAAGTGCATTCTGGTTGCTCTAAGGCCCTTTGGTATTGCCTCCCCCATGCCCAGGTTATTTCCCCCAAAACAACAAATTTACCATTTCAATTCATTTTCAAGTAGTTTCATTATCCAGGCGCCCTTTCCTCTTTTTCGGCAGGTAGAGCAAATGCGAGGAAAGGAGACAGGACCTGCCCCGACTCGGAAACCACGCCCTGGGCCATGCCATCGCCCCAGCCCTTCATCTTCTCAACCCCCGTTACCCCCAAACTCCATCGTCAAAACATAAAGTAACTCAAATCAAAAACAGCTCATAAAACAGTAAACAAAATAAAGTCAGTTTTTCTTTGCTTTTTTTAAAGAACAAAATGAAACTTGAGGGAGAACTTACTGGAGTTACAGTTTATCCTGATACAGTCTAGATGGGGGAAAAATAAATGCAAGATGAAATCGCATCCTTCAAGGTAACAGCTGCAGACATCCAGAACCATCAGTCCACCCTTCCGGGGACAGACACACGCAAGAAATGTGGCCATTTTATATGTGCAGTCTGCACAAGTTTAAGGGTGGGTGTATATGTACAGTATATCATTTAGTAAAGTTGGATACATATATATATACACACACACACATATATATACACATATGTATAGAGATATATACTGGTATACATATATATCCACAATAGACACCCGGGTAGGCTTTTGTCCCCCAAATCCTAGTCATTTAAAGTCTTTTAAACCTGGATTTGAAATATTAATTTTGTTAAACTCCAAAAATTATTCAAAAATTTCCCCACCAAATACAGGTTATATTCGATTTCCGCCTACCATTGATTTTCTTAAAATCCATCCTTAAAAGTAGCAATCAACACGATTTTTGTATTAGTATTCCAAAGACACAGTGCCAGTCTGACACTTTGGATCATTTTTTTTTTAAATCTGCCCTGTGGAGTTTCTCGGTGCAGTATTTAACCCTTTCTCTTTTTCTAAAAGCAAACTCCCTCCACCCTCACCTCGGGTCGGGCCCCAAGTGCTACAGAAATTTGCAAAGGCAGACTCGCCATTACCCTTAGAGGTAAGGAAAGGGTTAACACCACCTGGTCATTCCCTGTCATAAAATGGCCACTTGCAAACAGCTAACCGCACAAACACCCCTCCCAGATTTTAGAGAGGCGGGCTCGGGTGTGGGGGAAGAGGGGTTGAGTGATATTAGGGCAATCGCTTGTGTTGTCTGCTGTTGTTTCAAAGGCTCCCAGACCAGCCCGCTCATGAAGCCCGTCTGCCTTCCTGCCCGAATGCTCAGGCTGAATCAAGTGCCTACAGCATTCAGGGAGAAGGCGGGACAGGCACATGGGGAGGAGGCCCTGGGCACCTTTGACGTCCTACCTAAGTCACCCCATGATTCTGCATCTTGAGGAGAGACAACTCTTTGCTTTTATTTTTTTAACGGGAAATAGAGGGGGAAGAGGGTGGCTAATTTTGCATTGCTGGTAACCAGACCAGGAATTATTCCATGCCAGAGTTCAAAGCATCTCTCCTTTTATTAATATCTGTTTAGAGTCACGGACTCACAGCATCAAAGGTCTTGAGTGGAGTCAATGGATGTTCGTAGGGGACTGGGCAGGTTACAGAAGTGTCTGATTAATTGTTACCGAGCTGCCCAGCTGAACCTAAATTTGGTTTATGATGGTGGAATTCCAATAATAATTTTTTTAAAGTCAGATATTAAAAGGCAGAAGTAAAAATGATAAAGTAAAGGCAGAAAGTGACAGGAAAAAATACAGTTAGAAACTGTTGTTCTCCTGCCTGAGGCTGACCCAGTAGCTGGGAGGACTTGTTGAGGACAATGCCACCGCCTGAATTTTTCAAACCACTGTAAGAGGGCAAGTTAAAGAAGAAAGCAGTGGCCAAGGACAGGGAAGAATGACACTATGTGAAATCCAAACAGGAGCAATGTATCACACCCAATCCTTCTGAGGAGGGAGGCGGGAAGCTTATTTGTTCCCCAGAAGAACATCTCTTGAGAAAAATCTGGGTTTGATTTCGTGCGGTTAGGTTTGTCATGTGTCGTCAACCGCAACAGAAAAGTGGGAGCAAACAGCCCTGGAGCAACTGGTACGATCACCAGGCAGAGGAGGCCATGCCCCTGGCAAGGACCGGGAGGGGAGGGCAGGGGGGGAGGAAGGAGCGGGGCCTCAGCTACCGGCTGCACCGTCACCCAAACCCGAAATGCCCCCTCCTGGTGCCTAAGGGGGAAGGGGCGGCAGGTGTGTGGGCATGCTGGCCACAGGGGGGAGAGAGGGGGCCTGAAGCAGCAGGCCCAAGGCTTGTAAACAAGGAGCAGCTCTCTCCTTGTTTCTGGGTAGCTGAGCTTTGATTCTTAGGCCACCTGGTCTAGAGAGAGAAGTTGGGTTGGACTCTTCCTTCTGCGTTCACCCTGATGGTTCTTTGCTCTGAACGGTGTCTTTAAACTAATGTGAGGACTTGGAGCTTTCAAGGTGGCAGACAATTGGTTATTTTAAGTCAAGAAGTGCTGAATTACTTTGCTACTTTACCTAAAGAATAAGTGGTTTGAGGAGAAAAATCTACCCTAATCCCTTGTTCACAGACTCTGAGAGGGTGATATTTATAGCAAGGAATGTATTTTTTAATGAAAAAAAAAATGTATCAGGGAAATTAGCTTGGGAAGGCAGTGTTTTTAGATCATCAAAGTTCCCTCTCCAACTTAGCCTTGGGGGGGGGGTCTGTCTGCCTCTGCATGTGCGTGTGTGTGTGTGTGTATTGCTCATTTTGTTTAATTTAGTTTTTCATTTTATTTTAGTAAATGAGGAGAAATGATTATTCTCTATATTGAAGAGTTTGGGGGTGAGCATGAAAGAGATGAATGTTTCTAGAGTTGTGTGTCTTTGATGATGCATATAGAAAACCGTAGTCAGCAAGTCCAGTTTCCAGAGAGAGACCATCTGGAGAATTTGAGTGCAATTAACCAAACCACATGACACTTCCTATGAGCCTCCACCATTGAAGAAGGATTCCTAGCACTCTGCTGAGGATCCTAAAGGGCCGTGAATGAGGCTGCACCAATATGGACTGATTTTTTTTTCGCAGTTTGGCTCAATTTAAGCCAGGCACTAAGAAATAAGGAGATTCTCTCTGTGCATGTTTAAAGGTAGCCATTATGAAAAGCAGTTAGAAATCATTAAGACTGTCCCATCATAGATCCATGATATTGATCTGTGGAGGTAAAAAGATAACCTGTGCTGATCTAGCAGTTTAGAAACATGGGTTCTAGTCCCAGCTCTGCTACCAAGTTTTTTGTGAGCTTGGAAAAGATATATCTGTCTTTCGTTTCACATCTGTAAAACTAAGCACAAAAACGTTTTCTTGATTTATCTCACAAAGTTATTGTGAAATTAAAATAAGACAAGATTTTTTTTTAAATCCTGAAACATACTGTAATGAAAAAATATTATTATATCTTTTAGTTCTAAAGGATCAAAGTACGGTTGATCAATAGCTAACAACTTAAAAACATGCTGTGCCTGCTACTCCCACACCTGCGCAGCCTCAGAAAACAAGGCCCTTAGAAAAAACTTATCACCCTGACACTGGGAGATACATTACACTAGAGAAATACATACTAGACTTTTATATCATGAGCTTAGATGTGTGGCCAATTTGAAATAAATGGGAATATCAGTTGCGTCTGTGCTCAGACAGAGACACAATTTAAATGGATGAGGGAAGGAAGTGATCATTTGCAGGCAGTTCTTGAGGAATGATTGTAAATGCCAACCCTGCTTGAAAATGTATTTATTCTTGTATAACCAAGAAAAGGGAAATATGAATTCATGGGAAGAAAACATCTGTGAAGGGCTATATCTTGGGGAGGGTGTGGAAGGAGAACCTTCAAACCAAGCATGAATATAAAGAGTTGTATATACACAAGTTCAAGAAATTTAAGGTCAGTTTTCCTTGTTAGGTTTGGAAGAGAGTTAAATAAATTCAAACCAGTAACCTGTGTTGAACCACACCCTTCACAGAAAAAACAGTCACTATTGCCTGGGGGGGAAGCACAGTGCTCCCCAGGGAGGGTGAACTCTCTTTGGGGTGCTATGCCTCAACTTAGCAGGAGCTGGACTTGACGCTGGCCCTAAGAGAGCCAGGGGAGAAAAGCAAAGTCTGTTTGCAAAGCACATCTCTGGGATTTTAGCGAGAGTTTAGAATAGAAAAACAATGCTTCTAGGAATATACACAGGATCTATAACTCTGTGTGTGTGTGTGTGTGTGTGTGTGTGTGTGTGAGAGAGAGAGAGAGAGAGAGAGAGAGAGAAAATAATCTGTCCATCTCCTTACTCAGTCCCCATTTTTCCTTCTAAGGCGTAAGACCCATCATAGTTGGCCCTCTAATCTTTACAAAACAACATCTAAAAGGAAAAAAAATTGTCTGTTTAAAGACTCTGTGCATGTCCCCAGAACCCCACGGGGCTGAGTCATTGTTAAGTCCACGGCTCTCTCTTATTTGAAATTAATGCAGAGCCAAAAATTGTCTTCATCATCTTTTTCTGTGAGCTATTAGGAGGTTTTATTTGGTGTTTTGTTTTTTTTTTTTTTGGTTTGTGTTTTTTTTAAATTTTTGTGCTTTATTTCTTCTGCTGTTTTTCGGAGTAGACAATCTGCCCCTGGTTGTTGGTTCCGGGTAACAGATTCTTTGCTGGTTTGGTGAAGGTGGGGAGGGCAGGGAAGGGAAGGTGCAAGGGACAGGGGTATGCCAGCCCCTGCAGGCTGCTCAGTACACTCTGTTCTCAAGGCTGTTTGCTATGCGGGCCGCAGGCTTTGGGCCTTTGAAGGGTTGAATACCATCTTTTGATTTACCATGGCTGATGGTGGGGAAGACTGGAAACTCAAGAACACAACAAAGATCCAGCAAAAGAGATGGGAAAAAATAACCAAACACACATATACACGGACAAAAGAAAAACCAAGAGACACACTGAAATCAAATGAAGTTGGACAAGAAAAAGGCATAGTGTTGTAAAAGCTGCAAATTGGAAGGAAAAAAAAAAAGACATAACTAAACGAGCCACTGCTCAAAACAGTCCTCTGTGCCCCCGAGATTTTTAGGATTGTAGTATAGGCATTTTCCAAGCGTGACCAGTTGACCTGACAGCAGATAAGACTGGTGTGAATTCAAAACCCCACCTTCTACCGGGCCATCTAGGGTTTTATACAGCCTCGCATTGGGTACATTTCTCTCTCATGTCTTCTCCTTGTCTCTGAGAAGCCACTCCACTGAAATCTTTTAAAAGGAGCTTGGGATCCAGACACATGCCACATACCCAAACAAATCCAGGCTTAGCAAGTCTGGACTCAGCCATATCACCAATCCTGCCAACACAGGACATGGACTTGCTATGGAGTGGAATCAGTGGAAATAAAGGATTTATTTTTTTTTCCTCCAAAAATCAAGAGGTTCCCTATAGAAGATTAATTAGAAATTAAGTCAAGAAGGTAGAAGCAGGAGAGAATGTAAGGCCATAGCAGGGGAATTTCAAAAGTATCTGTTATGAGTAATTATAGTGGAAGAACAGATCCTCTCCCAATAAAGCTCCAAATTTGACATTATCATAATTTTTTAATACTAAGAAAAACTGGATATGTATGATCTGAGGAGATCAGCGTAGGTGGTGAGCAACAGTGTGACATAACAATCATCATAAAAAGGGTTGCTGAACGATGGATTCGAACATCAGCAGGACAGGTACATATCAGAAGGCACATTCTCCTTCCACGTGTCAGAGACTCCAAGCTTACGGAATTATTTCTCTAGTGGCACAATAGAAAGAATTTGACGTGGGCTCTCCACTGGGGGAAAGTATAAGGAGATACCAGGCCACCGGAATTCCCCATTTGAATAGTCACTGCGGAGCTGGAAACGCTGCATTTCTCATTGCACGCACACAGCTCAGCTCCCTCCAGCCCCGCCCTCCCCTTTTGCCTCCATGTCCTGGCCTGTCCTTGCCCTCGGCTTTGACTGTTTTGAGTGGTGACCAAGGATTGGACTTAATGAGAATGCGATTGATCAAAAGATGGACCAAAGTAGCGTGTTTTACACAAAGCTAAACAGTTCCATAAAACCAAGAAAGGAAACTTAGAAAACAAATAATCCAGTAAAAAAAAAAGAAAAAAAAAGAAAAAGAAATTAAAAAAAAAAACAAAACAAAAAACCACCACTGCTGTCAGAAACCAGAAATTGACATCGAAACCTCATGCAGAAACAAGAAGGTGTTTGTTGCTGTTGGACTTTATCCTTGGTCTATTAAACAAGAAGTGAGCAGCTAACTTTCAAGAAACAAACAAAGAATTCAATCAAACCAATGAAAATCAGAAAAGAAAGGGAAGACAAGCCCAAACAGAGTGGCAGAGGGTACTTCATACGATACCTAAGTTAACCATGAGCTTGACGCGTCCCCCATCCAGCTCCAAGCGCAGGGTGTCGGCAGAGTCCCTGGAGGTAGTGGCCACCAGCAGCCCGTAAGCGCGCTGGGACATGAAGCGGAAGGACACGTCCTCGGCCTCCGTGTGCATGACCATGGGCATGATGATCTTCATGTACATGCTGCCATCGTAGCTCAGGATGGACGCCTCTGCAAAGAAGAACGGAGAAATTGCTAGAGTGAAGATGCCAGTGTCCGTCTGCTTGCCAGGTAAGCCGAGGAGGATGGAGAGGGCACCAATTTGAAGACAGGTGACTCGAGTTTGCTAGACCTCCATTGCCACTTTCAAGCTATGGGACCTTCAGCAGGCCACTTAAACTCTGAGCGTCTGTTGCCTCATTTGCAAAAGGCATGTGACGGCACTGGACCCTGCCCTACTATGCTCACAGGTTTGTCATGGGCACCGAATGAAATAATGGATAGGAAGGCATTTTGCAAAAGCGAAAGTGCCCCCACAAATAGTAGTAAATGTAATTCTGTACTCTGTAGTTAAATGAAAGTACATTAAACAAAACTTAGAATCCCGTATTTAATGAGGAATATGAGGAGAGCAGCGGTTTACAAGCACCACAGCAAAGAAACAGTTCATCTCCAGAGAGCTTCTAGAAGGAGGAAAGAGCAGGAGCACGGCCTGGGCCCCATAGCATCCCTAGTGGCCAGGCACTGTAAGAATCTGCTTCCATCCCAATGAATGCATTAAGAGAAAAACGTCCTTTCGCCCATTCAAAGAAGGTTGATAGAGTCGGAGCAAGACTCTAAGACACCCTTGAGGACCAACCATTTACTTTTATTCAAATGACACTTCGAAGGGAAGAAACAAACTCACTTTTACTTGATACCTTCTGCAGTCCAGGTGCTTTGGCTACAAGCTCCCTTCACAGCCCCCAGTTTATTTCAATCAATGCTACAATGTGGACCTATTGTTCCTACTTTCAAACAGGACACCAAGGCCCTTAGAGGGGCACATTATCACTCCCAAGTCACACACACAGCCTGGATTTTAAAGCAGTAGAACCGATACCAAGTCCAGGGCCTGGGCTGCAACAGCATGGTGCTCAAACTGAATTCGCTTAATCACTCACTTAGCAAACATTTTTTGAGAACACGGGAAGGGAATATCACTCATTTTCCTATGAAGCCAATCTGTCACTGGGCTCAGTACCGGGCACTGAGTAGGTCCTTATTAAATATTTATTGCTGCAAATAGCTGCTACTGACATGCACTATGGAGGGTACAAGAGTTTAACAGACCAGGTCCCTGCTCTGAAGAGAGACGTTATGTGGCACATACAAAGAACTGTACTCGAATGTAAAAGTGGTTAAATGACATGGGAAAGATACATCAGTAAAGACAGTGCTGTTCAGGAGAGAGGGGCTGTGGCATGCAGGCCAGGAGAGTACATGGGTTGAGTCCGAGCTGGTCTTGGTAGATGGGTGGCATTTGTGATGAAAGAAATGTTGGCATTAGATTTGATAGGTAGATAAAATAGCACCTCTATGCACATAAAAGAAAGGAGGGTGCTCAGACCGTACATTATTCGATTTAACAGAAGCATCTAGCATATTTTGGTAAGTAGATATAAAGGTAGTTTGACATTGGAATAAAATCAAAGGACTTTGATAGACACTGGGAATTAAGTGAATAGTTTTAGATTATGAGCTACTACGATGTATTCATCTGTGATCCTGTGCACCAGGCACTCTTCTACGTGTTGAGGACATAACAGTGGACAAAAGGAACCAATATCTTCTGCCCTCGTATATAAATGGCATCAAAACAGGAAGAGACCAGGCAGACCACATGGAAGGTCCTCAAAATAGCCTGTGTCATTGCCATACCGCCACCCGATTCCATGACACACGGAGTCCACGAAAGGCAAAATAAATGCGCCTGCTCATTCCTGGGAAGCAGGCCTCGCCTGGGTAATAGCCATGATTTCCTAATAGCTGTACATGACAACTGGAAACTCTAAGGGGATCAGAGATAAAGGTGTGATAGTTGCAGACACCATCACAATAAAAGACATACACTGAAGCTCTGTTCTTGGATGGAAAGTCCAATCTAAACTTAACACATGCTCCAGATGTGAAAAAAACTGCTTTATCTCCTGCAAGAGCAGCATCACAGGAAGGTCAATAATGATAGTTAAAATTTATTGAGCGCTTACTATTTGCCTCATGCAGTCTAGGACTCTACATGCATTAAGAAGATTTAATCCTCACAAGAGCACCATGAAGAAGACAATGTTATTATTATATTTTATAGATACCAGGTCACACAGCTAGCCGAGAGCAGAGCTGGGAGTTGAACACAGGCAGTCTGATTCTCACGGCTGTATGCTAAATGCTTAACCTTCTGCCAAACTGTCAGAGAGCTATGCGGGGAGCACGCCCATGCTTCCTAAGGAGCCAAAGCCCATCTTTAATGCTTCATGGTAGAGTGTGGTGTTCTTGGGTGTATATATGTCTGTGTGTGTGTGTGCATGTGTCTTATGTGTATAAATACACATATTCATACATAATACCATTAGTTAAAGTTTTATATTATTTATGAACACAAAATTATATAAACATAGATAATACTTACATTTCCAAAGTATAATTGTTATATGTAAATATATACAATGCTCTGTATATTTGTATAATTATGAGCACCACTAATCATTCCTAGGTACTGTCTACTGTATACAGCCATATGTGTGGACACTACTTTTTAGGAGATATCAGGGTATTCACTGAGCCATGAAATGATTATTTTGATGGCTTCAACTTAAATACAGTTCAAAATTAATGACCACTTGCATCCCTCTGGATGTGTGCAGTGCCAGAACATGTGTATGAACGAATGCATCCTTGTATCAGTGTTAAGAGTATCATAAAATAAATATCAGGTGAGCATGTAGCTAAAGAGCTAATGGTACAAAATAAAGTGTGCATCTCAATATGAACTTTTGTATGTATCTCTGTCTGTATGTGTCAGTAAGTTCTATTATTAACCTAATATTTTTAAGGGGAAGGTGATGAAGCAGAAAATTTGATATAGAAATCAGCCAAAACAAAATCTGTTCTAGGATTCATATTAATTTAATTTGCTTAAAATATTTCAAACACAAGGAGTACCATAAATAGAATACTAATTTGAGGGGGGAAATTAGCCTAAAAAGGAAAGTTATTCAATCTAAAATCAGAACAGATCTCAGAGGGAAGGCAGGGGTGGGGGTGGGAAGAGATAAACCGAATAACTTATATGTGTATATACATAGCCCATGGACACAGACAGTGGAGTAAAGGCCGGGGTGGGGGGCAGATGCAGGGTGGAGGGGATCAGTGGGGAAAAAGAGGGGATATCTGTAATATTTTCAACAATAAAGATAAGTTTTTAAAAATTTAAAAATCTGCTGGGTTATTGAATATCGAGAGACCACATCAGGGAATGCCTACACAATGGTTCTTATACAGTTCCCCCATTCTTTCTTTCCTCTTTTATTACCCCCTTTTGTCTTAAGTGAATATTTCCTAGCATGCTATTTTAATTCTTTAATGACTCAACTATATTTTTGAGCTACTTTTTTAGTGGTTACTCTTGGGCTTACAATATACACCTTAATTTATCAGCATCTACTTTATATTTATACTAACTTAATTCCAGTAGGATATAGAAACTTTACTCCTATATAGCTCTCTTCTCTTCTCTTCTCTTCTCTTCTCTTCTCTTCTCTTCTCTTCTCTTCTCTTCTCTTCTCTTCTCTTGTTTTGTTATTGTTATTCACATTATGTCTATACACGTTACAAACAATACATTGTTGTAATGATTGCTTTATAAAAACTTATGTCTTTTCACTTAAGTAGTGAAAAGGAAAGCTCAAGTGCATTTCCTTAATTCTTTTAACATTTATAATAGCTTTTGTGTAGTGTTTGTCTGCTAAGACTAACATCTGGGCTCCCTCAAAGGCAGTTTCTATTGCTGTATTTATTCCTGTGACTGGATCGTGCTTTCCTCTTTCTTTGCAAGTCTCCCAAAGTTTTGTTGAAAACTGGACATTTTAGATAACAGATTGTCACAAGCTGGAGTACTGCTCCTCCGTGTGCCACTACCACCAGCAGCTGAAATCAGTCACGCGAGTGCTGTATGCCTATGAAGCTGACCCCGGTAAAATCCCTGGTCTCCAGGTTTAGGGAGCTTCCCTGGTCGGCAACACTTTGCATGTGCTGTCCCACATGATTGCTGAAGAAGTTAAGGACATCCTGTTGAACTCAACTTGAAGAGGACTCTTATAATATTGTGCCTGGTTCCCTCCAGACTTCGCTCCATGTGCCTTTCCCTTTGCTGAGTTTACCCTGTAATTTTTGCTGTAATGAACCATAACCATGAATATAAGAGCTTCTAGATTACATGAGTTTTTCCAGAGAATTATCCAGATGAAGGGTAGCTCTGGAGATCTCTGACAATGGCATACATTGCTCTGTACTTATAATGTGTATAATCATCATGTGTTTGTTATACATTTAAATGTGGTCATTGTTCCACCAAGCCTTTTATGATAGCTTCTCCATTTCTGAGTAATTTTTTATTTTTTAAATGCTTAGAATTTATAATAATACCTTTATTAAAAAACCCACTAGTGTTGTAGTAGCAAAATTTGTTTATGTTTGTGAATGTCTGTGCTCTTTATATTTGGATTGTCATGCTTTCATATAATTCTTGAATCACACTTTATTTCATGCAGAATTTTAAAGACATTGCTTTATTGTACTTGAGATTGTATAGTGCCAGTATTCTGTCATAGGTGATATAGTTTACACTGAGATACGTATTGATTATGTCATTGAACTTCAAGGAATAAAACGGCATTCTTCAGGCATAGAGAGATGGTGAAATATGGGAAGAAAATGAGGAGAAAGATGCAGAGTTCAATCAAGACCGTACATGACCTTCCTTTAGCTACCAAGACCGTGTTCTCATTTCTGAAGCTTTGTTCAATGTCCTGTCTCAGAAGCCACCCCACCTGGTTAGAGGGTGCAACCCAAGGCAATGGAGGGCGTACATTAGGACTTCTGATCCACTTAGCCCTGCTAACTTCTCTTTTGATTGGCAGTCCTGCTGTGAGTTCCTGCCTGTTACATGAATTCTCCTCTTGTAGCCATTTCCT